GTTCACAGTACTCCACCAAGTGCGAAGAGCTGATGAAGTACAGGTCACAAAAGGCAATTGGACATTCTGTGACAGCTCTTGATCGAAGTCAAGGCATCTATGTATGGAAGCTATCCTCTGGCTGATAGAAGCTCGAAGAAGGATCTGACTGAAACTGTTGTCGTCGCGGCAGCTGAAAGCTCGAAGACGGATCTGACTGAAACTGTTGTCGTCGCGGCGGCTGAAAGCTCGAGGAAGGATCTGACTGAAACTGCGACCGAGGCGGATTAAACTAGAAGTTCCTCGATGTATGCCGGATGGGCTGTGCTCGCTGTCGATCTGAAACCCGAAATGGTTTAGGTGCATCACGATGCTCACGTCGCTGTCTACGTGGCCTATGCTCCTGTTTGAACTGTGGCTCCGGGATGACCCAGCCCGGTGTCGGATCAATACGCTCTGGCCAGGCAGTCATGACGGGCTCCTCATAATGGCGCTGTACAGGTACTGTGAGATCAGGGTATCTACGCTGCTCAAACCCTAGAGTAGCAACCCCGGATGCCATAAAGTTGGCCAAGTCCTCACACTGGTCGGGGGTCAGCCCTCCAGCCCGTACACCGTCACGCAAACTCACCTCAGCATGCTCGATAGTGTCGTACTAAAAAACACCAACAAAATGTCAGATATTTCACACAGTTAACAACAAATTAAGCAAACAAATCAAATAACTAACCAATGCCTCTGCTGCAGCTCCTCTCCGTGTGCCGGAACGTCTGGTGACATCTCTATACCACTCCATATGCTACGAGTGGTAGGCTAACTCCTCATCAGTGTATGGAGCCGTCGCTACAAACTCGTGTCGACGGTTCCAGAAAGCAATCGACTCTCTGGAGGCGTGTACCAACTGCTGCCCACGCGATGGCCCACGAGTAGCCTGGCGAAGAAAAAATCTAACCTCAGCCTCAGGATGTGGCGGATGAGGCTCATGGTGCCTCATGCCAAACTGCCGGAACACGCGGTCTGGATGATGCCACATCACCGATGAAAAGCATATAAGTGGCACTACTGCTCGAAATGTATCAGACTGTATCACACTACCTCTGAGATGAAGTGCTCTCTCAAGGTAAGGTTGCCACTACATTAAAAAAAATTAACGTTATTATCCCTAAATCTAAAAAAATAAAAAAAATGAAAACTATTCTAAAAATGAAATGTTATATACTAACCACCACGGTGTCCATCGCGTCAAACCACAGCTTGTACTGGAATAGCTGGTCACCATACTAACGACTGTTGGCCGAAAGCCATCGAAGACCACATGGGGATGCATCCTCGGTGGCATGTGCCCTCGTCTCCGAATCTCGAGGTGCCAGATGTGGGAATCGCTCCCACGCCCAAAACTGCAGTAGGGCGACCCATCCACCAAGGTCACCGCTAAGAGAAGTGCCGGTATGCGTAATGTGCAAAGTCGACCTACCCATCTCTCGGTACAGGTAGGATAAAACAGCAGCTCCCCAGGCGAACTGTCCAGCTCTCTCCCAATCCTCAATCCGAAGTAGGTACTATAGGTGCACCGTACTTCCAGACCGATCCGGGAAAAGTACACCTCCAAGCAGAGATAGAGCATAAGCTCGTGCAAACTGCTCTATAACCTCCTGTGATGCATTCTCCGGTAGATGATTGAATTCAACCCTCAGCCAAACAATCCTAACAACAGCGACACTGCCTACAAGATCAGCCGGAACCCGTCCTAACAGTCTCAAACAGATCGCCAACCACTCCTCATCCGGTATATCAACTACGACGGCATCACCGTCGATCGCCAGACCGGACAGTGTAACAACGTCCTTTAACGTGATCGTGATCTCACCACACGATAGATGGAAGGTCGACGTCTCGGGGCGCCACCGCTCTACGAGTGCAGTAATCAAACTCGCATCAGGGTTAATAGGGACTAGGGGCACGACACTTAACAAGCCTGCCTCTTCGAAACATGGCCGATAAAGCTCATGGTAAGGTACTAAAATGGTCGTACCTCGAACATGGTAAGATCGATCACCAGCCTATAGTGCACAAAACTTATATTAATTCATTTTCATAATAATTCTAATTTCACCTAATAAATTCTAATCTGTCTTATATAACATAAAATTATACTAATTTCAAATTATACTAATTTCACCTAACAGTTCAGTTCACAACCTAAAATAATCTAATTAGCTAATTAACTTTACATGAATAATTATCAAATACTTACCTCGTTTGTCCAAACAAAGTCGATATGATGTTGGCCATGTCCCCAAAGAAGTGTCGGATCAACCGGACTTGGATCAATTGTCGTCGGCGGTAATCTCATCGAATAAGGATCCATAAGCCTAGGAACTGCAAAAACAAAGCAACAAAACATTAAAAAAAACACAAAACGTTAAAAAAAAGCGCCGACGAGAGTCTCACCGCGCAAACGGCCGCCGACTCCACCACGACCTCGCCGGCCTCTCCCTCTGCCTCTGCCGGCGGCGACAGGTTCTTAGTCGGAGGACATCTCGGGCGGCGGCGCTTCAGTCAAGGGCGACGGTGCTTCTGTCAAAGGCGGCGGCGCTCCAGTCGGCAGCGGCGACGCCCGACTCTGCGGCGGTGGCGCCTTAGTCTTGGGCGGCAGCAGTTGCGGCGGGAGGCTGTGGGTTCTCTGCTGGTTCGGGGTTTGGGGGGGGGGGGGAGATGTGGGATATGTGGTGTGGAGGAGTGAAGAAGAAGAGGAGGAGATAAGGTGGGAGGGGCGGGCCCGAGGTCGGTATTTTAAAAAAAAAGAGGGTGGGGCGCTGCCGCTTGAGACTCGGGCGCCAGTGCCTAGGACTGAGTCAAAAAGGTGACTGAGGCGGGGTCGCTTGAGACTGGGGCGCCAGCGCCCAGGACTGGGTAAAAAATCAGTCTCGCCTGAGTCTCAGGTGGTCCCGCCCCAAATCTTACTAAAAAACACAATATCTGTGTCAATACTTTTTAATTTGCAATATTAGTGGTAAATTAAAAAAAAAACAATATTTGTGTCATTAATCCTCCATTCGACATCTTTCTTGAAATTTTTCTACCTTAGTCCACTTATCAAAATTTATGGGGATAGTATACAAAAACTATTTGGTGGCCAAAAGTTGATGATTTGACGACGCATTCATTTATATAAAAAAGAAGTCTGATGAGTTGTGACTTTAGACTTTATGAAACACATATATGAGATTAAAGCCATTTGGAATCGAATTGAATGAATTGGGAAAGGTTTCCTTGGATGGGAGTTGTGGGAATCACGTCAATAATTAATTAAGTTAAGAGTACATTGTACACGTCTTATTAATACAACAGTACCATTGTTTCTGAGCCATAGCCACCCGTGCTCATAGGCCTCCACCCCTTCAACTTCAACATAAGTTCTTTATTAATGACCCAAACGGCCAAACCACCACATCCAAATTACTATCAGTCCTCTCATGCTATATTCCAAATTCTATTGATTTTCTACTGAGGAAGCAAAACATGGCCTTTCATTAGGCCTGTACTGAAAAAATCCGAGTTCAAAGTGTTGTTCGATTACCATATGATGATGTTACCAAAAAATGCACAATCGATTGTACTAATGACATACTAAGAATGAGATCGTGATATTTTACTAACAACCCATTAACCGTCGTCCAGAGATGACCTCAACTAACCACATACTAAGAATGAAACTCCCAACTAAGCTCACCAGTATACATCATTGAAGTTGATTCACCACAACTTGGCACTCAAAAGTATGTATTTGGAATTTTTGTGTGCTTATTATGGATTTGAGAAAATGAGAATTTTGGTTAAAACCTGAGTTTTAAATTTTTTTGGATTTGATTTATTATGGATTTGGAAAAATTTGTTGTTTATTTGCTGTATTTTTTCATGGATTTTGTTGTTACAAGCTTATAGCTTTGAAATATAAATTTCCTCATAACCCTTAGCTGAAGCCTGAAAGTATTTTTTATTTTAAATGTGGATATAAAATTGAATGATCATAATATATTTATGGTCACGTCTCAGATCCCACACTTATAGATGAGATTTACAAATTCCTAAAATAACAGATTTAAACACTCAAAATCTGAAGCAAAAACGAATTCTATTTTTTTTTTTAAATTACAAACAAATAATGAATTTTTTCAAAGTCTATAATAAATTAAATTCGGTACAAAATCACTCAAATGCATTAACCAAACGACCCCTGAGTGGAAAGGACTTCGGACCGGTCATTATATTGGAAATTGTAATAACAAAATTAATAATTTAATTCATTAAATACGAAAGAATATTAAACGCATTATGGGTTTTATATATGTTTATTATTGGAGCCATCAAATGAACGGTAAAAAATGAAACGGCTTGACAATAATATGGATACGGAAGTTTTAAACGGATAAAGTACGTACGTGTATATGGTGACTACTTCGGTGCACTCACAAAAATGAGTGCGTTCAATGCACTCAACTCAAAAGCTAATCTTAAAGTGTCGGATTTTGAATTTTAATTTGTAGAATTAGTGTAATATGATGATATAACATATGATAACAACTAATTAGCCGATTACCCTAAGCCCTAGACCTCCAATTTGATTTCTATCCCTAAACGCTAAATCGTAAACCCTAAACCTAACCCTAAATCTCTAAACTATAAATCCTTCAAATTAACGTAAATCTTTAATGGTTTTTGTGCAAATTCATGTGCGTTATTATTCATCACATCATAAGTGATGATTGACATCATTTTGACATAAATCGCATGTTTAAAATGATGATTATGAAGTGAGTGCACCGAAGACGCCACCACGGGTATATATACGTGTATTAAACAGAGTATTTACTAAATATGCTAGGTAGTAGGAATGACAATGGGCATGTCCGGGATGGATATCTCGATACCCATACCCGCCTAGTGGCATGTAGGGTTCAGGTCGGGTAATTTATCACGGGTCGCCCCAATGGATATGTAATCTATATGGAAAACATTAGAAATATTCTTTATTTTCATTATAAGACCAAGAAACAAATCATAATATGATAAAATGTAGGCACGTTATTGGAGAAACTGAGATTTCCACTAATTCACAACTTTATAATAGCTAAAATATGATGTAATAAAAGGAAAAGTCTAAATAATTTGACTAAAATTACATGTAATATAGACAAAAACGGATCGAGAATGGGACGAGTCAGGACAAGTCGGGTCGATGTACGAGGTGGGTCTAACCCGCCCCAAAATAGGTCGGGTAAATCGGGTCAGGTCGAAATTGTCATCCTACTAGGTAGAGGAAATGGTTTCAAACCGACGATAGAACCGTCTCCCGGTGGCACATTCGGTTCCGCCTCGACGGTGGAGTAGAATACACCGTCGGAATTAGTAACCAATCCCGGCCGCCGCCTAGGGTTAGATTCCGAGTCCTGGGGAAGAACCCGAGAGACGGTTTTGTGAAATGCAGAGGTTGGGTTCATGGTGATTGGGCGGGAACTCGAGAGTTATCACAAGGGGAGGATTAGAAATGCTAAAGAGTGGGATTGGTTCTTAGAGGAGACAGAGGGTGAATCCAGAACACAGTAGAGCAGCCGAGGATGAGAATGTAGGCAGCCGTGGAAGGAGGAAGAAGAAGAAGAGGAAGGCTGGAATGGATGAGGAGTGGAGAGGGGAGAATGAGGATGAAGGGAAATAGATTGTGTCGGGGACAACAACGACTGCTAGGAAGAAGAAGAAAGATGGAGGGACGAAATTCGCGACCGACGAGACCACGGGACAAGAAGATGGAGAAGGAGAGGGATGGGGAAGGTAAGAAGAAGAAAAAGATTACCGACGTGGAGGAAGGAGATGAAGGTGATGAGAGACTATGGGAGGATTCGTTGTTGATTGAGGAAGCATTGGTTGATGGAGAAGAGACAAGTGATGATGATGACTATCTATAGTAAGATAGCAGAAAGAAGTTGATTGCAGAACATCTTTCATCATTTACATAGCCAGAAGAACACACTCTTCCTAATCGAGGATTGATCTCTGGTCTAATCTGTCTCCCCTGTTACCTCCTTACAGCTATAGCTTTACTCAAGTCATGAAAAAGTAGGATTGATCCACACATTCTTTCTCCAGGGTTGCTGCCATTTCAAACAACAGCATGACAGGAGAGCTAGCAGTCCCTGATCTATCTGGCTATGTGCTGCATTGGTCCAAAATCTTTCGGCGGCCACACCTGCAACCAGAACAACAAACAGACTCATCAAAATGTAAACTACCACTACTACATGAACATCGATCTTCGGAATACTGGATACCCATGGCTCGAATCCAAACCCCCGGGATTCCACCGTCCTACATACTTCTACTTCACACGAGACTTGCATACTGGAAAAACCACGACTACTACTACTAGGAAGGAAAGAGGGAGCAAGTGTGAGCAATACCCTCCAAAGTAGTTTTGCTTCAACCAGTGCATAAGGAACTGGGCCAAAATCTCTTGAATCTTTCGAATTGTAAATGTTATCTCCCTGTATCCAGACATGGCCCCTTGGAACCTGATGAACAATCAAATCCAATGAACGAAAACAGAACAATGAAGTTTTCATTTGGAAACTAATACACTCACACTCACTCAAAAGTAATTAGTCAAGGGGAGAAGAGCAGAAGAGAAGAGATCATTACCACAGTGGAGCGAACTTCATCGCTGTTGTGTGGGTCGAGCAAGTAGGTGACTCGATCTCCTTCCATGCCAACCACACGCTTCGTCACTACCCTACTGGGAACAACCGGCGATCTGACGATAACAATGTCCCCAACGCCCACCTTCCTGAGGCGTGGGGAGATCCTCTCGGCGAGGATAAGGTCACCGGTGAGGTTAATAGTCGGAATCATGCTGGGGCCATAAGCCTGCAATTGCAAATCTCCCCAAATGGCGATGGATCAATCAAGCAACTGAAAAAATGGTGAAAGGCCAGTGGAATTAAGGATTAGTAGAGGGGAAAAAAAAACAAAAACTTACAAGTGCAACTGTACAGAGGTAGGAATTAGTGATATGGAGGATGCCGTATGCTTTTGCAACCAGCAGTGTTTTGTCGAATGCCTCTCTAATGATACTCCACATCCCGGTAGATCGTGGGATTATGGACGCCGGCGCTAATGCGAGCTTAGGAGAGAGGGGAGCCGGAATCGGAAATCTGGGTTGTTCTCGTCGTCGTCGTCGCCGGAGAAGATTGGGGGTTAGAAGAGGGATATGGGATAGGCCGTAGGCGGCAGTTACAGCAGTCGCCGGCTCGCCGCCTCTGTGTCTGCCACTGGCGTCGCGATGAGAAGGAAGACGAAGAAGAGCCCAACTGGGCTCGATCAGTTGTTGGTGGGCTTGGCTTAAGATTTATTCGGGCCTCCGGTTTAGATGAATTGAATTCAGTTCGGGCATGGCCGACCCGAATGGGTTAGTTCCCCTATTTTTGTTTTCCGTTTCTCAGCAGAAGGCTAACAAAGGCCAAAGCAGATCGACAAAGAGAGTAGTACATCACACAAACAAACCCTCTTCGATCCTCATCCGTCCTCTCCAGATCGCCGTTTTCAATCGCCGGCGCCGCTATCTCTTTTACTTCCCGTCTTAGCTTGAAAAGTTTCCGGCTTTCAGTCTTTTTTGGGGTCATCAATAGGCTGTCATCCTGAAAACCATAGACCTGCGTGGGCAGATTGAATTATACCCGAATTCTCTCGCTTTCGGCTGATTCTAGGGTTCTGGGCACATTTTTTTTCCAATCGGAATTGGTGTGGAGTTTTTGAGTTATTTTTAAGCATGGATTACGATTACTCACAAAATGAAAGAGATTTCGACCAAGGAAATGTTCTGGCTTTCAATGTCGATGAGGAAGAACATGATTATTATGAAGATTACGAAGAGATACCTCAGCAGCAACAGCAACAACAACAACAAGAGCAACAGCCGCAGCAGCAGGGAAGGCGGGATAAAAGACAAGAGGAAGAAACTGGAGCTGGAAATGGTGGGAGGATGATTAATCACAGTCACCAGTCCTCTTCTTCTTCTTCAGCTCCTGGGTTAGTTAGTTGGTTGGTTTAGTCATAGTAGATAGCTTCTTAGTTATAGTCTTATAGAATGCATGTGTAAAAAATCAAGGAAAGATAGGGAATTGGTTGTTTTAGAAGGCTTTTGTTGTTCTTTGTTTTTCCAAGATGCTGCAATGGCCTGGTGGAAATGGATAGAGAGGAAATTTTATAGGAAATAATTTGGGTTGTTTTTTTTGTTATTGTTGGTAGAAAACTCTTTGTTGGAGGGCTTTCTTGGGATACTACTGAAGGTATGGCCTACTTCCCTTTTGTTCTTCTTTCTCGCTATGGCTTAGTTCTTATTTGGAAGCTATGCACTTTCGTTGGCTCCTGTTGGTATCATCTATTATGCTACTTTGAAAAATGAACGTTTGGTGTTTGCTGTATGTTGTGACTGTTAGTTCTAATGAGGAATGGTTTCATCCTTCGAACTGGTGGAGAAATCAACTTTGAACTTCACTGAATTGGAAATTGTTAGCCAATTTTCCGTGGCATATGTGGTTCACTGGGTTAAGCAATTGTCTGATTTAAATACTGTGGTGAATTAGTCTCCTATGTTGGCGTTACGTATAGCTATTAATCCGACACGTGGCCTGGAAATTATGCTGCTGATACTTTATTCTTTGATTTCAACTTTTAAGATGGATGAGAATATTGTTACAAGTATGCATACAAGTAAATGACTTGCCAATTTAGTCTGTTTCTTTTCCCATCTATTCCTGTTACACTGAAGCTGATTGACTCAGTTGTCAATGTAAATCGTGGTAGCGGCCTCTGTGTATCTATGTAATATGGCATGGCATGTCTTCAAAATCACCTCAGACGATGTGAGGCTTTTTAATTAATTAGCAGCTGGTAGTGATAAATTCCAAGATTGTAGCTGATTCTTTACATCTGATGGACCAAAAGTTGCTGTCCGGTGGTCTGTGAAATCTCTTGATTGTCAATTTGTTGGTGAAAATGCCGAGTTAGCTCTTTCACATTCTTTTTCCCCCCCATGTTTGCGCTCAGTCTGAGCTTTCAGTTGTTTATGTCTGTTGTTCCTTTTCATCTTTCACTCAAGTGGTTTCCTGCTATGTGTTGACTTGTTTTTCAGAGACCTTCACTGATTACTTCTGCAAGTTTGGAGAAATCTCGGATGCTGTGATAATGTTGGATAGACTGTCAGGAAGGCCACGGGGGTTCGGGTTTGTAACCTTTGCTGACCCAGTGGTTGCCGATAGAGTCTTGGAGCGAGACCATATTGTAGATGGCAGAGCGGTAAGTTGCACTAATTTCTGATATTCTTGAAGTTGTGTAGAATGCAATTCGCGGTGCTGGTACTTACTCTGCTGGTGCTTTATTTGTGTTAGGTGGAGGTGAAGAAGACAGTTCCAAGGGAGGATATGGACTTCAAAGGGATGCGAGTTAAGAAAATTTTTGTAGGTGGACTACCTCCTTCTTTAACCGAAGGTAGCCACGTTGAACCCATAATTTGTTTTCATCTCTAGTTCCTGACTCGTCAAGTATATTGTCTGATGCTGCATCTTTTTACTTTTATCTTAGATGAGTTAAAGGAGTATTTCTCGTTCTACGGGGGCATCACCGAGTATCAGATCATGTTGGATCATAAAACTGGACGTTCAAGGGGATTTGGGTTTGTCACCTTTGACAGTGAAGATTCAGTCGAACGGATCTTTTCAGAGGGTAGGAACCACGAGCTTGGAGGGAAAGAGGTAAACTATAATCTTATTGAAACTGATATTTCTGTGTACCATTCAGGCCAGCTATGTAACCCTTTCTCCTACTCTGCATTTTTACAAACTACTAACAAGTTGCAACTTCTGGTCTCCATTTTTATTCAGGTGGAGATAAAGAAGGCTGAACCTAGAAGATTCGGTGGTGGTGATTATGGCAGCGGCCCAAAGTCTTATGGTGGAGGATTCAACAATGAGGCAAGTGGATATGGGCCCGTTCATGGTTCTGGAAGTCGGAACAGTGGGAAAATGGGCAGAGGAGCATATGGCGGTGGTGGTGGTGGTGGTGGCTATGGCGGTTATTCCGTATTCAATGGTTTTGGAGCCGGTTATGGAGCAGGCTATCCAGGGAGTGCCGCCGGGTTCTATGGTGCATATGGTGGATATGGCTATGGATTTGGGCTGAACAACTTTATGATGTATGGTAATGGCATGTATGGAGGTGGTGGCGGCGGTGGCGGTTCAGCCTTCCCATATGGTGCGGCAGCTGGCTATGGTGTGGGGAAAGGGTACGAACGAACTGGCGACGGAGGTAGAGGATATGGCAGTAGTGGTGGTAGTAGTGGATATGGCAGTGGGAAGGCATATGGAGGCAGCGCTGGAGGTTCTGTGGCAGGAGGAAGACACCACCCTTATAGGAAGTGAAATAGATATTTGAGTGCTTCTCTCTGGATTTGTTGTTGCAGGCAAACATTTGGGAGAAAACTTGTATGGGATTGTGAAGATGAATGTTGAGAATGCTGTCCTTCTTTCTCCCTAGGGTAGTTGGTTTGAGGAGGTTTTTCTTTTTCGTTGATAGGGTGGCAAAAATTGGGTCTTGTAACCTTCTTGAGAAGGATGACAGAGTTTAGATAGTAGAGAATTCTTTTATGTCAAGGAGAAAGGAAGGCATTTTCTGTCTGTGGGTTTCTTATACTTGGAAAATTTCACAGGTATACCATTGTGTTCCTCGCAGAAATTGGGTTATAATCCTGAAGGAAGTTCTTTAACCATAGAGTTTAGTTGTGTACCAAGGGTTTTTTTAGATAGGCAATTTGCATTTCATGAGTATGTGTGCTCAAAGTCTTTGCATCTTTTGGATAATTTTTAGTTTTTCTATGACAAGGATCTTTGTGATAACAAGGGAGAACCAAATTTAGGAGTCGTTTGTTTTTGTAAGTTGGTGTATTTCGATGAAAAATTGGTGTATTGTAGTTTATAGTTTGGTTTATGTGATAGTTATTAACGTATTTAAATAAGTTATATTATTTTGGATAATGTCTATTTTTAATTCAAATTCTTTTATATTATCCACACCTATTAAAATGCTATAATTAGCCAAATCTTTTGTAATGCATCAAAATATTAGTTATTTTTACGTTGTCATTAATAATTTTGTAACTCTTTTATTAGTTAAAATAATAAAATTTTGTAATGTTTACCTTCATGTGTCTCTTCCAAGTAAGTATCATGTTGCCAAGTAAATATTACTGACAAAATTGTTAACAGAAAGTTAACATTTGGCTAATTCTTGGTATTTTGATAGGTTTGGCTAATAAAAAAATCCCAAAAAAATTTGGCTAATAAATAGTCATTACCCTATTACTTTTTAGATGAGATATCATTTTTAACTTTTGTTTTTAGTATACATAAGCGACACATTGAAAAAAATATAACAATCTCAACCAAACTATCTCAAATGTCAACAATCTCATCCAAAATTTGGGATTTAACTATGCACATCAAGCAAACAATGCATTTATTGTATGTGCAGAAAAGAAAAAATGCGTTATGAAAAATACATGCATTGTAATTATTCCAATCAAACTATCATAAAAACCAAATAACTCCTTATACTTTTTCTTTCTTTGATTTAATTATGGTGATAGATGATCTAATATGCATAATTTAGATGATGTTCTTCAGAAAAATATTAATGCCTTTACTATTTTTTTTTACTAGTTAAAGTCTTTACTATTGGTTCATACTTTGTAGTAGAAGCTACGGATGGTTGTTGGTTTTTACTTCATTATATGATTATCATTAGCTCGTCATTATATGATTAATCATGGGTTAATACCTTATTTTGGCATGAATTATGATCATATAATCAATTTTGACCCGTTGCAGAAATTAACATCCTAGTCTCAACTATGTAACATATAGACTCAATTGGTCCGACACATAGTTTGACCGTCAATTTGGATGGTCAACACCATTGACCGTTAGTCAACACGCCATGTCATTGCCTCGTCAGCCTAAAAATCATTAAAAAATTCAAATTATTTTCTAATTTTTATTATCAAATTTAAAAAATACATTATAAAAAATGATATTAGATTAAATTTTTTTTGGGTAATTTGAAAATGATAAATTTTATAAATTAACGAAAAATTATCAAATTATTTTATATTTTTAAACTTGCCCTAAAAAATATATTATTATATCATATTTTTTAAATTTATAAAATTTAATTTGATAATTTTTGGTAAATATATAAAATTTATCATTTTCAAATATCCAAAAAAAAATAAAATAAAAATTTTATTTTATATTTTTAAAATTTTATTTTTTGGTTGATTGGAAAATGATAAATAATAAAATTTGGAAAATAATTTGAATTTGAATTTTTTAATGATTTTTAGGCTGACGAGGTAATGACATGGCTTGTTGACTAACAGTCAACGGTGTTGACCGTCCAAATTTACGATCAAACCATGTGTCGGGCCAATTGAGTCTATATGCTGTATAGTTGAGGCCAGGATGTTAATTTCTGAAACCACAGGCCAAAATTAATTATATGGTCATAGTTCGGGCCAAAATAATGTATTAACACATTAATCATTGTGAGACGTCATTAATCGAAGTGAGACACGCTTAATTGCACCAGCATACCAATAATTGAAAAGATTGTAGCTCAACACCATCTCCAAGTCGCCTTATATTCAATGCATCCTTCATTCATTCCTCGATTTGATATTGCAGTTTTAGGTCATGACATATTTTGATTATTGTTGAGGGTTAGCTAAATTACTAATTATTTGAAATTGAAATAAAGTAAAAAACGTACTATAAGATTGTTATTTCTATTAGAATCATGATTTTTTTTATGAAAACGCCTAGACGTTGCCTAGGCATCACTTAAACATGCTAGACGCCAGATAGTACTCCAACGCCTGCCTAGCACCTTCCTGAACGGCTGAATTAGTATGAACTGGTAGTTGGTACCAGATAAATGTGGCTGTAATATAATGGATGTTTTTGTTTAAATTTGTAATTCATAATATAGAGAAAGGTGTAATGGGTCAAGTAACATAATTACAAGTACTAAAAGTTATAATTGCCTTTTTCTTCTTTCCCTTTCTCACAGTTTCTTTCCATACGCGCGCCCTCACCGTCACCGTGGCTCACTCCCTGCCTGGCCATCGCGGCAAAAGAGAAATTTCCCTCGTTTCCTTTCCCCTGATCTTCCACTCTCCATTTTCCCGTTTCCCAAACGCTCGTCCCCGTCCCTTCCTCCATCGCCATCCCTCTAGCGAAACCCACGAATATGAGTAAGGATTCGTTGCCCGTCACCGATCTCGACTCCTCCCTGCCAGCAGCTGCCGCCGGTATTATAACTATTCCCTCTTCCCTCAAACCCTCTCCGGCGCCTGCGTTACATTATGCCATTTGTTCTCGGCAATTTGGATTGGTATGATTGGAACATTGAGAGCGTGAGAGAAGAGGCAGAATGTTTCTTTTCCCAACACTGATCATACGGGATAGTTATCTTGATAGTGTTGAATCGTTTCTGAGATTTTTCTGTTCCACGAATTCATTTGATTGCTTTGTAGTTCTGCCATTGGAAAGATTAGCAAGGGATCTAAGTATTGATGTGAATTGTGAAATCGTTTTTTTGTTTGATTTTCCATTTTCAGCTCTTAGTGCAGAGGATCGAGCAGACCTTGTTAATGCGCTTAAGGTATGTGATATTAGCGCAGTAGGGCTGGGATGTGGTATACTAGGAGAGTGAAATTTAGATAATGCTTCTAATCAGCAGTTGAGAAAGTTGAGAACTTTTAAGTAAAATTGAGATATTCAATTTGAGGGGTGGGGTTTGTTTTTGGTGCAGAATAAGCTACAGAACTTGGCAGGGCAGCACTCGAACATCATCGAAGAGCTGCCTCCGAGAGTCAGAAAGCGCGTGGAGTATCTGAAAGAGATTCAGGTGGTGCTTTTTTTTTCTTCCTCCAAGAGCATTTGATGGTTTTGTAAAGAACTGTTATTGGATTTGATTCTGTCGTATGTTGCATGAATTGGTGTTTTGATGGAAATTCAGGTACCTGTTTTGTTTTGTTTATGAGGTAATCGGTTTTCTTGGTGCATCGCCATTAACAGGGCCAACATGATGAACTGGAGGCGAAATTCTTCGAGGAGAGAAGGGCGCTAGAGGCCAAGTATCAGAAGCTTTATGAGCCACATTATACACAGGTTTCTCAAATAATCTACTCTTGATCATTATCATTGAGGTTCTTAAGTTACCATACCTAGCTGATTTAACATTTTCTTGGTGCTATCAGAGATACGAGATTATAAATGGTATAAAAGAAGTTGATGGGGTATCATCTGAAGCTTCAGGGGATCAAGAAGCTGATAAAGCTGCTGGAGGTGACTTTTCACAATAGAATGTATTTTGATTTCCTGGTTTGATTTAGAACTTCTCCTTGACTGATGATATTTTCACCGCGGAATCAGGAGTACCGGACTTCTGGCTCACTGCAATGAAGAACAACGAAGTGTTAGCCGAAGAGGTAACTCTTTGACAGGAGATATTCAAAAGTTTTTAGGCTACTTTATGTAATTACAGAAGGTTCGGTTGCATTATCGAAAGTTGATTTTGATTATGTGGGACAGATAACAGAACGTGATGAGGCAGCTCTTAAGTTTCTTAGAGACATCAAAAGTATTAGACTTGAGGAGCCTGTGGGTTTCAAGCTTGAATTTCACTTTGATCCCAATCCATACTTCAAGAATTCCGTGCTGACTAAAACATATCATGTAATTGAGGATGATGAAGATCCTGTTCTAGAAAGAGCAATTGGGTAAACTGCACATGTTTTTATATTGGATAGTGTTTGGGATTGTTCGGTTCCTTCTTGGCTTTTTATTATTAGTTTCACTTTATAGGACGGAAATCGACTGGTATCCTGGAAAATGCTTGACCAAGAAGATTCTAAAGAAGAAACCTAAGAAGGGATCCAAGAATGCCAAACCCATCACCAAAATCGAGGATTGTCCGAGTTTCTTCACATTCTTTAATACCCCCCACATGCCCCAGGACGAAGACGACCTTGATGATGATGCTGTAAGTCTTGCATCCAAGGATTAAACCATTAACCAACTATTGATGTGGAAACTCGTTTGTTGATCTAATTAACTTCTGTTTTGAAGGTTGAGGATCTTCAAGACCAAATGGAGCAGGACTACAATATCGGGTATCTCCCAACTTTTCTTGTCAATTGGGAATTAGAGTTGTGCATTGTCTATTTTCCGTTTCTGCCTTCTTAGATGCCTTTTTCGGCTCGTTGTTGTTGCAATGCAGCACGACCATTCGTAGTAAGATTATTTCTCATGCCGTAGCATGGTTCACTGGAGAGGCAGTGGACGTTGATTCCTATGGCCAC